TGATGAATCTTTGTATGTGTAGGGAATACAAGTGCATAGATGTATGTTTAGGGAATGGATATGTGTATATAGATAGATGTATGTGTAGGGAATGGTGCGGATTGAGTATATGATGAGGAAGAAGGATACATATTCGGAATGTGTACAAACTTTATGATCTATATATTTATGTATCGGATGCAAGTATTTTTGTATATGTAAGTATTGTGGTAGGGTATGAATCCTTGCATAGGTGTATGTGTAGGGTAAGGTATGGATCATGTGCCTAGACCAGAGAACAAATGGTGGAACTAAAATCATGTAGTCTAGAGAACAATTGCTGGAACTTTTTTCACATGATCCAAAATCAAGGAGGAAACTTAGATTGCCATATTAGAAGTAACTTTTGAGTGTTGAATTGCATAACTATGGAAAGAAATCGAGCATGGCTCCTGTCATTTGCCTAGTCACTTGATCGTTAGCGATGCTAGTAGTTTGGTTTTGTCTTCATATCGTATTTGCCATCATCATTCAAGTTCTTTTAATTTGGCAATCAAAGTTTTAGGTCAGGAATTAGATTTTAGGTGAGGAATTCAGATACTTAGTCATGGATTTAGATTTAGCTAAAGTTATTTCGATGTATATAATCTGCTTTTTTTTCTTTTCTCTTGGTCGGTGTTCTTGTTCGGTATATCAGCTCTTTCCTTTTATTTTGTATATGTATTTATAGATTTGTATTGTGTAGCGAATGGATGTGTAGGGAATGGATGTGCATAGATATGTATGTTTAGGGATGGATATAGACTAGAGAACAATTGTTGGAGGGAACTTATATTGCCGGATTAAAGGAACTTAGAGTGTTGAATCGCTTAACTATGAAAACAGATCGAACATGGCTCCTGTCATTTGAACATTCACTTGATCGTTAGCGATGCTAGTAGCTTGGTTTGTCTCCATATCGTATTTGCTATCATCACTCTACTTCTTTTATTTTGGCAATACAAGTTTTCTCCACAACACATAGTTTAGGTGAGGAATTAGATTTGCTTAGGTTACTGATGGATTGAGAGATTCTATAGCTTAAGTTATTTAGGAAGGAAACTTGTTCTTAGTAGAAGAACCTTTCGATGTGTATA